CTACTGGCTCTAAGTCAATCTCTCCAATAATAGATAATTTTTAGCACATAGCTTATAACTTGAATAGCCCCACACAGGGGCGAAGCTGCACTATGATTAGAGGGTGCAAATGCACCCCTAAATTTTGAAAAAAAATCAGTTATAATGACTAAAATCCCACCATGTATGCACCCCCACAACACAAGTCTATGCATCCAAAGGCAAATGCACCCCCCTTCAATCTCCTCTAGCTTCGCCATTGGCCCCACGTGACATCCTCGTAGAATCTTGAAATATGTGTATGAGACTAGCTCTTGGTCAAGAGCTAGATTTTATCTAGCTTGTATTATAATATGAAACAATATGCTATGAGCTATCTCGTAAGTTGCTATTACGGGTGCCCTTATATTACAGAAGTGCATTGTAGGGCTTGTAGTCCGAATCAGTGTATAGAGGTCTGACGCCTCGTCCACACCATGTATAGAGGTCAGAGCAGTAGAAACATAGCAGAGAATTTGGGCATTCACGACTAAACAAGTGTTAGCAAATTTTTGTTCTTTAATATTAGGTATAGATTTTTTTTGCTTTGTAATTTCTCATAGTTTTTAGAGAGAGAAAAATATTTCCTATGAACAAAAATATAGACATTTTACGTTTTTTTACCTCAATATACGCATTTTATTTTAATTTGTATATTATTCTCTTGGTAGTTATCTACTTTTAATTTTCCCAAGTATTTTATGAGAATAAAAATATAATATTTATGGAAGTATTGAGTTAGTATATCACTTGTCGCTAATTTGCTTCTTTAAGCAATACTTAGTTGGAACCTGGACTTCTAGAAGATTTACATGGGTGTTTGTACTCCACATCTATACCCAGTACTATTTTATTATAGAGACAAAATTTCATTCTATTTTTCTGTCCACACCTCTAACTCCTTGTGCAGCATTACTCAGTTTGGAGTTGCAAAACCTCGTTGGCATAGCACGACTCATATTATAGCCTAGCTGAATCTATGCACGCGTGTAGCACTTCTTAAACCTTTTCTAACCCTAGAACAAGATATAAACAATAGCCATCTATTTAAGTTTGAATCAATCTTCAATCAATTTTCCGTATCACATTAATCTTTTACTAATATTTATTATGAGCCTTAAAATCTGATTAAAATAATTAAAATATGTTAGGAAAAGTCCAATTATTAATAGTTTACCCAGACATCCGTTTGAGCCTCCATTTTTTAAGCGTGCGGACGCAACTTCTTTTTATTTTTCGGTTTTTTGTTTTCCGGAAATGCTTAGGATCAGGCATCCGATCATCCGGACACTGGCCCAACCTGAACCAACCTTCCACCATGCTCGCTTAACCGAGAATCGTTTAGCCAATCCACTCCAGAAACAAGACCAAACCATACTCTCCACTCGTCGAGTTCTCGCCGCTACGACATGGTCCACGGCGACCCCTCTGGCATGGCGTTCTTCACTGCGCCTGGCTGCCAGCCTGCCTTCATCCTTCATCGACCACCACACTGGAGCGCCAACGCGCGGCTTCTTCCCTCTCCACCATGCTCACTAAATGATGTGTGTGGTTTCCATTCTGCATCGCCCTCCCCCTCCCGCCCGCTTCCGTCCCTCTCTGGTGGCAGCTCGCGCTAGAAGCGTCGACCAATCGACCTTCCCCTCTCTCTCTCTCTCCATGGCTCCTGGTCCGCTGTCTCCCTCGGCGACTCGCCCACCAGCGCCTACGATGATAGTGGCAAGGATGCAAATTTTTAGAATCACCGTTTCCCCGCTCTGTGTTGTGTCGTACCGAAGAAGGGTGAAAGTCGTAATTGCAAGAGTATGTTTCAAGTGTTTTAGATGTTTTTAAGTTATGTTGCAAGTGTTGTATATCAATTTTGCAAAAGTAGATCGGATGTTACACATGTTGTAATGGCGGTACACGCGTATGTTTCATGTGTATGTTCAAAATGTTTCATCTGTTCTAGACGTATGTTGCAAGTGTTTTATCTGGATGTTGCAAAAGTAGATCTAGATGTTGCATATATATGCATGTTGTAAGCATATGTTTCAAGTATTTTCAGGTGTCTCATACATATGTTTGCAAGTGTTTCATGTGAGTGTTGCATATGTTTGTAATGGTTTTCAAATATTTTTCAAACGTTTTCGCAAGTATTTCATATGCTTGTTTCAAGTGTTTCATATGTCTTCTTTTGTATGTTGCAACTGTTACATCTAGATGTTTCAAAAGTTGATCGGGTGTTGCATATGGAATTCGCGTGGGAAGCGGCTGGCGGCGCGGGCGACGTTGGGGGTGGCACGGGTGACGTCTCGGGCGGCGTGAGCCCACTACTAGAGTGCTGGCTCGCGAGCTCGACGCGCTAGGCCCTTGCTCACTCCATGTGCGAACACCGTCCAGACGCTAGCCTCCGGATCGGACGTGCGACGCCAGCAAGTCAGTTCATTTTTCTCTTACATCCGCGTCCGTTTTTCTCTTTTCAGTCCGTTAGTTCTTTCTTATTTGACACACCTTTTTTGTCCTGTTGTCCCTCCATTTTTCCATTCATTCTGTCTACCTTTTTTCTTTTGTTTTCTTTTTTATATCCCCTTTAAATCACGGAAAAGTCCAAGTTTTCTTTTTTTTTTCTGTGTCCTATTTCTTTTTTCTTCTGTTTATATCTCTTCCGTTGCGTTGCGTTCTCTTGTTTTGTCCCGTGTTCGTTTCATTTAGTTTTATCTTTTATTTTCTCTTTTTTTATTATTTTTTCATGTTTTTCCTTTTCAGTTTCCTTTTCCTCTTCTTTGTGTTCTGTTTTTGGCGATAACTTGATCATCGAATAAATCATTGAGACACAGATTGTCCAGATGACTACACAACAAGCAATATTATATCTTGTTCTCATACCAGTTAAGAACAATATGCATCTAGCGACAATGCAGAATCTAAGATGTATTGGAACAAATAACATGATAATTGAATAAATCTTTGAGACAAATCGTTCAGATGACTATGCGACAAGTAGTATATCCCGTTCGCATACGAGTAAAAACATGCATGGGCGACAGTCTAGAGTCCAATTCCAAGACATATCCAACAATGATACGAAGTTCAATTCTAATAAGTATTGCAACAGATGACATGATCATTGAGGGCCTATTTTGAACATAGGAATTTCGTAGGAATTATGCATGAATTTTATAGGAATTAGTTCAATTTTATAGGAAAAACGTGTGAATAGGAAAAGTTTCTCACGTTCCATACAGGCCCTGAATAAATATTCAACATGTCTAGGTGACTACGCGACAAGCAGTACATCCTGAGCGATGGTGCTAAGTCCAATCCCAAGACACATCCAACAATGGGAAGTCCAATCCTAAGACGTCTTGGAACAAATGACATGATCATTGAATAAATCTTCAAGATACAGATCGTCCAGGTGACTTCGCGACAAGCTATATATCCCCTTGCAACGCGCGGGTATGTCTGCTAGTTCAAAGAAATATTCGTAACTGACATGACTTGTTCCGCATTCAACATATATTCTTTCGTATTCTTGAGCGAATGCATATTGGTATCTATATATGGTGGCTATCCGTGTCTGATTCCAGTTCGGAAAAGAAAATATAAATACAAAAACAAGGGCTAGCGCCCAGTGGCGTATGCAGAACAGGATTGAAGAGGGGGCTGGTCTATTCTTCTTCCTCTCTCTATATATATTTTTTTCTTTCCTCCACCTCTTCTTCACCCTCACCCTCCCCATTTTCCATTGATGCACCAGCTATAGGGGGGCTGGAGCCCCCCCCCCCCCCTTTGGATCCGCCCCTGCTAGCGCCCAGACGTCCGAACAATCGTCGCGTTTGGACATAGCTCCCGCGCCTGCATCCCATGCCACGCCCCGTGCGTCCGCATCCCATCCAGCGCCAGCGCCCGTATGCAGGACCCGCTCCCATCCCACGCTCGTACGGGGAAACCCATGTGGGTCTCCGTTACCTGCCCCACCTACGGATGCGGGCCGCGGAGGCGTTTGCCAGCCTCAACACCCGCACCGTAACCCTCAGCACCACACGAGCAGCAGCTGCAGACGGCTACGGCAGGCCGATGTCCGTCAGCCATCGGCGCTATTGCAATATGTGCAACATCATATCTACTTTTGAAACATCCAGATGAAACACTTAACATACGTGTATAGCCATAGCAACATATGCAATATCAAGATCAACTTTTGTAACATCTAGATAAAACACTTGCAAAAGTGTGAAACATCTGAAACACTTGAAACATACGTTTGAAACATGTATGTATAGTCATATTAACATATCCAATATCTAGATGAAACACTTAAAACATACGTCTTAAACATCTAAAACACTTGAAACATAAACTTACAACATGTGTATATTATCATTATAACATAAGTAACATCCAGATAAAACACGTACTTAAATATAAGTCTACAACGTCTTAAACACTTATTACGACGGACTGGTCCGCAGGCCGGCAAGGAGCGTCCGAACATAGGGACGGCCTCGAGAGCATTATAAGATACCAGCAACATCCGTATGTATCCAGTCCGATTACACTCGTAAGTCCTATCCAGTCCGATTACACTCGTAAGTCCTATCCAGTCCGATTACACGCCTGAGTCCTAACTCCTAAGAGAGAGTACTGTCTCGTGTGTGGTGACATGGGAGGACCGTGGTTTTTGTTCGAAAAATAATAATAATCCTGTCTCCTTGTGTGATGGATCAGAGGCCAGGGAACTGATCCACTAAATTTGCTTGCTTTCAACCCAAAAAAATGCGTCGACACCTCGGATAATGTGTACAATCAGAGAGTAATAACCATATCACTCTAGACTCGATGAAGATCACCAAATTTAATTATGAGAAAGCGATGCTAGCGAATTCCCGTCAATTTGGATAAAGCATTCAAACGACACATGCAGATCAGAAACACGTACAGTCAGAGCACGCATACTGCCATATATATTATTTCTATGCAATGCAACTTACAGCCGATCAAATGGCGAGGTCCTCGAGCAGTTCATCGAGCTCCTTGTCGTCGGACGGATTCAGCTCAATGCATCCAATACCCATGGCAAGTTCTTCAATCTCAGCGCAGCCTCGCTCGCTGCCGCTGCCGTCCTGCTCCTGCATCATCTTACCCGCGCTCCTTTTGTACCTCTTCTTGACAAGCACCGCGTCAGGTAACTCGTGCCGCTGCCCATAGCTCTCCAGGTCGTGGTTGTTACAAGAGTTGACGTTGCAGAGGTCGTACCCTAGCACATGGTCCCCAGGGTTCAGCCGCCAGCCGATATGCGTCTTCACGGTGAAGATGGTGTTGTTCTTGCCCAAGTCCGACGCGCGGGCGATCTGCACCCATGCAGTCGGGTACGGGACGAAGACGTCGTGATGGAGCAGATCCAGCTCCACGTCGAGCACGACGTACTCCACGAGCCGGCGGCTGCTGAGCAGGGGCTCGAACCTGTACCGGTCGTACTCCGCGATGCTCATGGCAACGAGGCGCATGCAGTTGGTGTCGAGCAGCGAGACCGATTTGCTGACCTTGACGCAGAGCACGAGCGGCCCCAGGCTGCCGAGCGCGCGGGACGCCTCCCTGGGGTGGAAGATGAGGTCGTCGTGGCAGATCGCGCAGAGCTCCACGAAGAAGGCGTCCTTGAAATTGTTAGGCGAGACGAGCTGCCTCGCGACGCCGACTACGCGGCGTGCGAGCACGACGTGAAGTACAAGTCATAGCCCCCCCCCCCTCCTAAGCTGCTGTCCACGCGGACGGCCGAGTCCGCGGCACCGTGCCTGACGATCTGCTGGTCGAGGTGGATGAGCATGCGGCGGTGCGACGCGCGCTGCCGCACCTGAACAACGGCGGACCACTATGGGAAAGGCAACGCCGAAAAGGCTCTCAGCTGTGGTACTGTAGCCATAACAGGGGTAGGCGTCAAAGTCAGTTATGCTGTCACATCTAGTCACTGTAGCAGCATGACAACTGTACTAGGATTAGATAGATAGAGTTGTATATATAGTTTGTCACTGCAACTCAGTAAAGAGAGCGAGTTCAGTTTGCCATCTCCTCTGCAGAGCTCTGGCCAACGCTGGTGCTTGTGCGGTGTGTGTGCTCTGTTCTCCCTTCCGTCTTCTACCTCTAGTCATAGTGTGTAATCGAACAATGATAGTCGTGGTCGGCAACGCCGGTAAGTGGTCGGCTCACCCGTGCCGGTGATCCTGTGGGCTAACAAATGGTATCGGAGTCGTACAAGCGCTATCGTCGGACTAACCGCTAGCGATGACGCACGGTTTGGAAATGAGCGACAGCAGCGGTGCTACTGTGGTTGTCCAGCCACGACAGGAGGTCGTTGTGCATACGGTGCAGGAGGTCAGCGGCACCAGTTGGCCGACGCTGACTCGCACCAACTATGACGAGTGGTCAGTGACCATGAAGGTCAAGCTCAGAGGCCAACGGCTCTGGAATGCTGTTGACAAGGGCACCGACAACGAAGAAGACGACATGTCAGCGTTGGAGGCTATCCTCGCCGCTGTACCGGCGGAGTACAGGGAGCCGTTGTGGGCGACGAGCTCTGCTAACGAGGCGTGGGAGGCTATTGCGGCGATGCGCGTCAGTTCCGACCGAGCAAAAAAGGCGACGGCCTAGCTTCTAAAGCAGGAATACGCCAATCTCAAGTTCAAGTATGGTGAATCGGTGGAGGACTTCTCCCTCCGGCTGCAGACGCTCATCAGCAAGCTGAAGAGCCACGACGTCATCATCGACGAAGAAGAGGCGTTCTCCAAGTACCTCCACTCCGTGCCGATAAAGTACATCCAGATCGCTCTCTCCATAGAGACAATGTTGGATCTGTCCACCCTCATCATTGAGGATGTGACTGGTCGGCTGCGGGCGGTGGATGAGCACCTGGAACAGGCGACAACAACGAAGGACAGCGGCAAGCTGCTTCAGACAGAGGAGGAGTGGGTTGCTCGAAGGAACTTCGAGCAAGCCTCCTCCAGCCGCGGTGGCGATGGCAAGCGTCGTGGTAAGGCTTCTTCGGAGAAGAAAAAGAAGGTCGACCCCAACGCCTGTCAGTGCTGCGGGGTGACGGGCCATTGGGTAAGGGACTACCCAAATCATAAGCAGGAGAAGAAGACTCAGGCTCATCTGGCGTAGGCTGATGATGATGAGGCCACTATCCTGATGGCGACGTTCTGTGCACTGCACGACATTGAGGCCGATGAGAAGGGAGAGGTGATGGCAGTGAAAGGGTCTGGGAAGGCCCTGAAGGCTGTGAACCTCGACGAACCACGCGCCCAGGTCCACCTCGGACGTGTGGGCGACGGATAGGAGCAGCGGTGGTACCTGGACTCCGGCGCCAGCAACCACATGATGGGCTCCAAGGAAGCCTTCTCCGAGCTCGACGAGGACATGACCAGCACAGTGAAGTTCGGTAACGGCTCATGGATGGCGATCCGAGGGTACAACACCATCATCTTAAGGTGCCAGAACGACGAGCACCGCGCGCTAACGGATGTATATTATATCCCGCAGCTTCGTTCAAGCATCATCAGCATTGGCCAGCTGGATGAGCGCGGTACCAAGGTATTGATCAAGGACGGAGTCCTTAGGATCAGGGACTGGGAGCAGTGACTTTTTGCCAAGATGAAGAGGTTCCAGAACCGGTTGTACCTACTCGACTTGAAGGTGGAGCAGCCGGTATGCCTAGCAGCACGGCACTGGCATGCCCGGTTCGGTCATCTCAGCTTCGACGCGCTTGGTCGGCTAGAAAAGATGGTCCGAGGGCTACCCCACATCAAGCACGGAGGCGAGCTATGCGACAGCTGCCTAGCCAGGAAGCAGAGGAGGCTGTCATTCCCAAAGGCGACCAAGTATCGCGCGGCGGATGCTCTCGAGCTTATCCATGGCGATCTCTGTGGGCCAATCACGCTAGCCACAAACGGTGGTCGGCGGTACTTCATCCTGCTCGTGGATGATTGCAATCGCTATATGTGGCTGCAACTCCTGATGACCAAGGACGAAGTGGTAGTGGCGATCAAGAAGTTCAAGGCGCGCGCGGAGGCGGAGAGCAGCAAGAAGCTGCGCGTGCTGCAGACTGATCGGGGCGACGAATTCACTTCGGTGGAGTTCGCTACGTACTGCGTGGATCAAGGTGTGGTACGACACCATACCGCGCCGTACTCGCCAGAACGGAATGGCATGGTGGAGCGGCGGAACCAGACGGTGGTCGGCATGGCTCGATCCATGATGAAGGCCAAGAGCATGCCGGCAAGGTTCTGGGTTGAGGCGATGACCACGGCAGTGTTCATCCTCAACTGCGCACCCACCAAGACCCTAAAGGGCAAGACGCCATTCGAAGCTTGGTATGGGCGCAAGCCGAACGTGTCCTTCCTCCGGACATTCGGCTGCATCGGCCACGTCAGGAAGACGAAGCCGGTCCTTACCAAGCTGGAGGACAGGAGCACACCGATGGTGTTCCTGGGCTACGCGGAAGTTACCAAGGCATACCGGCTCTATGACCCACACGGAGATAAGGTGCTTGTCTCGCGCGACGTCGTGTTCGACGAGAAGACGGCCTAGGACTAGAACATCCCGAGCATGGGGGAAGCTGGCGGCTTCACCAGCACCTTCGTCGTCAAGCACTTGGTCATCCACGATGGTGGAGACGTTGGAGAGAAGGTGCAGACCACTCCAGCAACAGAGCCGAGCACTCCTGGGGCTATGCCGAGCACTCCGGGAGGGGTGCCGAGCACTCTAGGAGGGGTGCCAAGCGGTCCTATAGTGGTGTCGACCACTTTAGGACGGGTGCCGAGCACTCCCATAGCAGAGCCGAGAAGTCTTGCAGTGATGCCGACCACTCCAAGACAAGGGCTGAGCACTCCTGCAGTGGTGTCGACCACTCCAAGAGTGGTGACGAGTGGTCCAGAAGTAGTGCCGAGCACTGCAGCCGGGGTGCGAAGCACTCCAAGGTATCATGTAGACCACTCCAGCGGAACATGGAACTCAATTGACGCCGATCGAGTTCACCTCACCTCCAAGTGACATCACTGAGTTCGTGGATGCCTTCCACGATGGTGTAGAGGTGTGGTTCCGTAGGCTGGACGACATCATCGGCGGCATAGAGACCTCAGGCGTGGTGAGACGGTTGCTCAATGACCTAGAGCTGCTTCTCGTCAGTGCAGAGGAACCACCCATGTTCACGCTAGCCGAGCACGATGGAAATTGGCAACGGACGATGCTGGAGGAGATGAAAGCGATCGAGGAAAATGAGACTTGGGAGCTCATCGATTGGGGGGGGGTATGGCCCCCGGTATCCTTAAGACAAGACATGGGCCGCACCATCAGAGGTGGCCTAGCCCACAAGATCAAGGCGTGCACAACGCTGCTTGGCGTGCACCGCAAGACATTGTATAGTACCAAATATGATACTTTCCTTGTAACCCTACCTCCTCCAGAGTATATAAGGAGAGGTAGGGGTCTCCTAGCGGATAAGATACATAGAAGATCTATCTACTATAGATCAATACAATACACCAAAGACATAGGACGTAGGGTATTACGTCGATCAGACGGCCCGAACCTATCTAAATCGCTGTCTCTGCGCCTTGTGTCACCATCTGGTTCCTGATTACGCGCATCCCCACCGACAAATCTACCATTGCAGGATACCCCTCGGTGGACTGCCGACGATATTATGTCGACAGTTGGCGCACCAGGTAGGGGTGTGCGCTTGATCCATGGTGAGCCAGATGGACCTCAAATCAACAGCGCGTTCTCGTCATCAATCTCGTGGAGATCCATGCCCGTCCACGACGACGATTCATCGCTGGCTACACCGGCCCCCGCGACAGTAGATCCAATCTCGGAACCACCTCCGAGGTCGCCTTCACCAACAACTCACCGCCACCAGGTGCTCGTCGTCAACACCGACTAGATAACGCCATACGTCGCCAACCAGACTTTCTGTCTAAAGCTAAGTCACGTTTTAATATTTATCTAAATATTCTCCAATCTTTGTATATCGTCATAATGTTTCTCTGATCTGTTTTCTCCATATTTGCACTCCAAATGATTTTCCGAACCCTCGAACAGTCCTGTTGACGCTTGGACGCCTCCAGAGATGGCCCTGTCTCCGGCTCCTCCCTACACATGCACGAGCGTCTGTCCTCTGCGTTATGGGTGGTCGGCAGCGGCTCCTTAGCAACGCTTTGTTCTTCTTACACGTGCATGGGCTCCGTGCCCCGCGTTATGGTTAACGAGCTAGCTAGGGCTGGAGACTCAGCTACACACTAACTGTTTGGACGGTTTATATTAAGTATAAATACATCTTTGCACCAACTGATCGCCAAGCTACATATGCTATTTTTTCTCTGGAGTTTGTTTATTTTTACATCATACACTACCCATTCTACATATTTGTTTTGCAGGATCAGAGTCCAGGTGATCGGATCACCTGGTGCTCGGACTTCTCCACCGATCAACTGGTCGAACTGCTAGGTTCATGGAGTTCATCGTCGACCAGTTGATCGGACTGTTCGTCGGTCGTTTCTACTCAACGCTCACTTCGCCGCCGACCAGTTGACCAGACTGTTCATCGCTCGTGCTTCATCGCCAGCTACGCTGGTTACTCCTCGGCGCTCGAATTTTTCGTGCTCGAGGACTAAGTGGGCACACTTCACCGCACGCACGTTGCCAGCTACGCCGGGGACTCCTCGGTGCTCGGACATCGCCAGCTACGCCAGAAACTCCTCGCTCCTCGGTGCTCGGACATCGCCAGCGACGCCGAGGACTCCTCGATGCTCGGACATCGCCAGCGTCGCCGGGGACTCCTCGGTGCTCGGACCTCGCCAGCGACGCTGAGAACTCCTCGGTGCTCGGACATCGCCAGCTATGCCGGGGACTCCTCGGTGCTCAGACATAGCCAGCGACGCCGGGGACTCCTCGCTCCTTGGTCCTCGATCATCACCAACGGAGCCAGGGACTCCTCGCTCCTCGGTGCTCGGACGTCGCCAGCGACGCCGGGGACTCCTCGCTCCTCGATGCTCGGACAACGCTAGCAACGCCGGAGACTCCTCGCTCCTCGGTGCTCGGACATCGCCAGCGACGCCGGGGACTCCTCGCTCTTCGGTGCTCGGACATCGCCAGCGATGCCGGGGACTCTTCACTCCTCGGTGCTCGGACATCGCCAGCGACGCTGGGGACTCCTCGCTCTTCGGTGCTCGGACATCGTCAGCTACGTCGGGGACTCCCTTGCTGCTTGGATCTTGCTACGTCTCGTCGGTGTGCTATGAAAGCTGCTCTATGCTGTTCGGATCAGGGTGCTGATCTTGGGCAGCACGTCTGGAGTCTTGATACGCGCAAGTCAGACGACGTCGGTAAGCTTTCAGACTTCTTTTTCTTTGCCCCTGCTATAAGATTTATTCTTCATCTTCCAACAGGCTCGGGGACTAAATGGGCACGCTTCACCTTGCGGTGAATGTGCGCTTTTCTCATCTCGAGGCTACGCCCGAGGACTGGCTGCCTGCTCGGCTAGTTTTCTACTTTCTGACCCTGGCACCACGTGACTACATCACCTACTGTCAGGCTCAGGGACTAGCTATTAGGGTATGGCCCCCGGTATCCTCAAGACAAGACATGGGCCGCACCATCAGAGGTGCCCCAGCCCACAAGATCAAGGCGTGCACGGCGCTGCTCGGCGTGCACGGCGCTGCTCGGCGTGCACCGCAAGACATTGTATAGTACCAAATAGGATACTTTCCTTGTAACCCTACCTCCTCCAGAGTATATAAGGAGAGGTAGGGGCCCCCTAGCGGACAAGATATATAGAAGATCTATCTACTACAGATCAATACAATACACCAAAGACATAGGACGTAGGGTATTACGTCGATCAGACGTCTCGAACCTGTCTAAATCGCTGTCTCTGCACCTTGTGTCACCATCTGGTTCCTGATTATGCGCATCCCCACCGACAAATCTACCATCATGGGATACCCCTCGGTGGACTGCCGACGATATTCTGTCGACATCGATCAACCTCTAGGATGTTGTCCGATCGGCCAGAAGTGGGTGTACAAGGTCAAGCGGTATGAGCACGGCGCCATTGTCAAGCTCAAGGCGCGCCTCGTCGCCCGAGGCTTTGTCCAGCGTGAGGGCATCGACTTCGAGGAAGTCTTTGCGCCAATAGCGCGCATGGAGTCTATTCGACTGCTTCTGGCTTTAGCAGCAGCGAAGGAATGGTGCGTCCATCATATGGACGTAAAATCGGCCTTCCTCAACGGCAAGCTGGCGAAGACGGTCTTCATCAGACAACCTCCGGGTTTTACCATCAAGGGAGCGAAGCACAGGGTGCTCCAACTGCGCACGGCGCTCTACGGGCTGTGGCAGGCCCCATGGGCATGGAACGTCAAGCTTGACTCCACGCTGGGTGAGGTTGGGTTCACAAGATGCGCAACCGAGCACGCACTCTACACACAGCGATGGGGGGGGGAGGAGCTCGTCGTCGGCGTGTATGTGGACGACTTAATCGTCACCGGCGCGCGTGCGGAGAACATTGATAGCTTCAAGCGTGAGATAGCGGTTTATTTTCGAATAAGCGATCTTGGCGCGCTCTCCTACTACCTCGGCATCGAGGTGAGACAGGGGAAGGAGGCGCTCATGCTCAGTCAGAGCGCGTACGCCTCGAAGCTGTTGGAGCGGAGCGGCATGGCTGAGTGCAAGCCGTGCATGACTCCAATGGAGGAGCAGTCGAAGCTGATGAAGGCTAGTATCACGGCGAAGGTAGATGCAATACTCTACCAGAGCATCATCGGTGGTCTGCGCTATTTAGTCCACACGAGGCCAGACATTGCATTCACCGTGGGCTACGTCAGCCACTTCATAGAGGATTCTCGAGAGGATCACTAGGCTATGGTGAAGCGGCTGCTGCGCTACAACAAGGGGACGGTGCATCAGGGGATTGTCTTCCCCAAGACCGGCAGGAGTAGGTCGCAGCTCACTATGTTCAGCGATGCAGACATGGCGGGGGACATCGACGAACGGCGGAGCACCTTTGGCGTTCTCGTTTTCCTTGGGTCGACCCTAATCTCATCGCTATCGCTAAAACAGAAGGTAGTGGCGCTATCCACGTGCGAGGCAGAGTACGTGGCGGCGGACACAGCGGCGTGCCAAGTTGTGTGGCTGCGCTGGCTGCTGGGCGAGCTGACCGATGTGGAAGCTCACCCACTAGCACTGATGGTGGACAACCAGCCCGCCATCGCTCTCACGAATAATCTGGTTCTCCACGACCGGAGCAAGCACATCGACGTGAAGTTCCACTTCCTCATCGACTCTGTCGATGTAGGGCAGATCGTCATCGAGTTCGTTGAAACTAGTCGGCAACTTGCGAACGTCCTCACCAAGTCGCTCGGCCGTCTTCGACTCACAGAGCTGAAGAAGATGATCGGCATGGAGGGGGTTCTAGGGTTAGCAGCAGGATTAGGGGAAGAATTATTAGATAATCTGCTGCATCCCTGTGTGAACACACGGCAGGGGAAGGCAGCGCCGCAAAGGCTCCCTGCTGTGGTACTATAGCCACAGCAGGGGCAGGCACCGAACGGCTCACCTGCCGCACTGTAGTTATAGCAGGGGCAGGTGCCAAAGTTAGCCCTACTATCACATCTAGTCACTGTAGTAGCATGACAGTTGTACTAGGATTAGATGGGTAGAGTTGTATATATAGTTTGCCACTACAACTCAGTAAAGAGAGCAAGTTCAGTTTGCCATCTCCTCTGTAGAGCTCCGACCAACGCTGGTGCTTGTGCGGTGTGTGTGTGTGTGTGCTCTGTTCTCCCTCCCGTCTTCTACCTCTAGTCATAGTGTGTGGTCGGACAACGATAGTCGTGGTCGGCAACGCTGGTGAGTGGTCGGCTCACCCGTGCCGGTGATCCTGTGGACTAACACACTGCTGGTCGGGGCCAGTGGCCCAGGCTAGGGCCATGCCATAGGCATCGTAGAGGCGGTCGTGGACGACTAACTCCACGACGTGGTCCTCCTCCACCACCATGCCGTCGGTGGTCTCGCAGCGGAGGCAGACGCAGAGCGTGAGGCGTTCGGAGTTGGAGTGTGGCGGCTCAGTGGGGACCCTGTGGCGGGCGGTGTGGTGGTCGATGCGGCGGATGAGGATCTGCATGAGCTCTGCCGAGTCTGGCGCGACGCGGATCCACGACCGCCGCGACCTCAGGTACGAGGAGCACGCGGGGCAGTGCACCATGTCGTTATGGCGCGGCCTCCGTGCGCGCACGTGTTGGCCGGGTTCGGCGCCACAACGCCGCAGGTGGAGCAGATGGACTTGCACGCTGCAGCGCCGAAGGCCTGTTGCTCGGGTGTGAGCAACATCATGCTGGCGAACGGCGGTGGTGGCTACGGCTGCATCGCGGCGATGGGTGGAAAGGAAGAGAAGTTGGCGTCTGGATCGAGGGCTGCAACCGCAAGGGCTATTAATTAGGTTTCAGCTTTTTTTTGTTGAGCAAAATTAGGTTTTAGCATACTGGGCTCTATTGGTTGCACGGCCCGTGCAAAATAATAGGCTATGGTTTTTTGTAAGGTGTAGGGCCTAGTTGGGCTTCCTGCCTCTAACGTGTGCGCTAGAGAGCCCTAGAGCGCTTGGCGGCAATGGCGGAGCTGCAGGGGAAAAAGTCCAAATTACCTTCCTCAACTTTCGCAAAAGTCCGTTTCTCCTCCCTGAACTCCAAATCGAGCAAAACACCTGCCTCAACTTTTAAAACCGTTTATCTTACCTCCTTGACCCGGCTATAAGCGGTTTTGAAGGTAATTTTGTCTTTTTTATTTATTTCGGCTAAATCTTTGAAAAATCATAGTAAATCACAGAACAATCATAAAATGGAAAATCTAATTTTGTTGGACTCCACATGAGTAAATCTACACAGTGAACATATAATATGGTATGCTTTAGTATAAAGTTTTTGTTATGGCTTTAGATCTATGTTTTTCTATAATTAAATGGAATAATTCATAGCTGCAGTTCTATGGTCCAATTGTGGTGATATTTTTATGGTGGGCTAATTATTGTATGCTTAAACTATAATAAAAATTTCATACTCATTGGATTAAGTACAACTTAGTTATAGATTTATTTATATTTAACAAGCATAAACCTAAATAAAATCTATAACTAAGATATACATTATCCAATGAGTATGAAATTTTTACTAAAGTTTAAGCATACAATAATTAGCCCACCATAAAAAATTTCACCACAATTGGACCATACAAACTATATCTATGAATTATTTCATTTAATTACAGAAAAACATTGATCTAAAGTTATAGCAAAAAATTTGTACTAAAGCATACCATATTATATGTTTACTATGTAGATCTACTCATGTGGAGTCTAACAAAATTGGATTTTCTATTTTATGGTTTTTCTGTGATTTACTATGATTTTTCAAAGATTCAGCCGAAATAAATAAAAAAAAGACAAAACCGCATTCAAAACCTCTTATAACGGGGCCAAGAGGTAAGATGAACGGTTTTAAAAGTTAAGGGATGTGTTTTGCTCGGTTTTGAAGTTCAGAGAAAAAAAATGAACTTTCGCGAAAGTTGAGAGAGGTAATGTGGACTTTTTCCAGCTGCAGGTGGTCCCTGTGGGCCGCGGACCACCCGGGCTCGGCCCAACCAAAGGCCTATATATGAGTCAAGAAGCCTGTCTGCTGCTCAGCCTTCGCGTGAGGCTTGGCAAGTTGGCAGAGTCCTGTCGATGGGCCAGTTTGATTTGCATTTGCTCAACTGTAAGGCCTATTAGGGGGTTAGCTGAATTGTTTTGTGCATTTGGAAGAAAATAGGTCTGTTTCTCATTGAAACTGTAGCTATTCTAGTCTTTTTATACCCGAGTATCATACGGCTCATCCATATATACGCTGAATCATTCAATCAAGAAAATCCCCGTCATGCCATTTGCTAGCTCATAGTAGATGCAGAATTCTATGACTTCACCATTCTGTTTGTTTAGATCAAACTTATTGCATCTGAGGTGGAGCCTCGGACCCAAGAAATGCTGGACTTCGTGCATCTTCTCTCTGAGGTCTCCCTTGAGGAATCAAGAGTTGAAGAAGCTCAGCATAATATGTCATGATCGACTATCATTGAATTCAGAACAAATTTGTATTTGAATTTAAATTTGAATATTCGTTATAGTAAGTATAGTGCTTTATTGTTATAGTTTAAATAAATTATTATATAATATTATGTTCTTAAAAATATATAATATGCATATAATGTGTAAGGAAATAAAGGGAATTGAGAATAGGGCTCTTGTTGGCGTGCAGCCCGAAAAAAATAAGACCTCAAAAGTAGGAAGAGCCCTCAAATCAAAAGTAACGTTGTTGTTTTGACGGCTAATGTTAGAATTGCTCTTTGGTATCTGTAGTTTAAAATTGCATTGCACTACGCAACTTATACAGTGTATCCACATGTTGCATTTGAATTGTTTTTTTTTAATAATGGACCACCCTAGCTGCAACTACATGCTCCCTCCGTGCCAGAATTAGAGACGTTTTGGGTTGATACACAGCTACCAAGACACCAGGCAAAATACCAACGTACCCTATTCTATAGTGCTCTCTCATCTCTTGAGCTCCTCTTCCCAGGCATGGATAAGCGTGCTACAGGATAGCTGGCTAGCTGGACAGTAAGGTGGATAAGCGCGCTGCACCTAACGCCCTGCTCGCTTGGCTTATAAGTCATACTTTTTCAGCCAATTAACAGTATTTTTCTCTCACAACAAATCAGCCAACAGTACTTTCAGCCATGGCTTATCAGCCAAACGAACAGGGCATAAAACGACATTAATACTGGGACAACGTTGCAATGCTAGAACGTCAATCTTATCGGATGCATATCTGTTACGGATACGTCTCTGATAGGTATCCTCTAAGTATCCGATTTTTTTTTTATTTAGTAACATCTGATTTTTATTTTTGGAATAGTGAGTACGTTTTTTTAGCAACTGGAATAGTGAGTACGTGACCTGATACGTATCTACCTCTGTCATACGGCCCAACCCAACAAGTGCTCCTTATCTCCCCGTCACGACGCCTTCGCACTGTCGCAGCTCGCACCTCCGCCTGCGCACACGCGCCGCCTCCTGCGCAGGGGTTGCGCCCCACTCGCCGGCCACCGGCGACGAGCCTCCACCCCCTCCGTGCCAGCAATCAACTTCTCCTCCTCCTCCAAACTGCCGCGCCGGTGAGCACCCACCAGTCCGCCATAGCCACGGCCAGCATCGCCGCCTCCTACGCAGGGCATGCGCCACCGCTCGCCGGCCGCCGGCGACGAACCTCCGCCCCCTCCGTGCCATCATTCAACTTCTCCTCCCTCGAAACTGCCGCACCGAGAGCACCCACCAGGTCGCCATGGCCGCAGCCAGCTCCCGCGATGCAGGGGAGAGGACGATTCAACAAATGATTAGTGATCTGGTGATGTTTATATCATGTATGATTGCACGTAGAGTACTGAACTAATGATTAGTGATTACAGCACTCAAGTTATAGACTTTCGAAAGGCGGGCTGGTGTAAGCGGTAGAGTCTTACCTGTGATCGGAAGGTCCCGTGTTCGAGTCGCGTATTGGGTACGCCCTTTTATTATTACGAATCGTGTTTTCTGGGAAATTGCCGTATCCATATCCTTCTCCGTGCTGCATAGAGCTACAAACGGCAATGATGCTATCAGATGCATAAGGTTCATAAACAAGACACTGATTCAATGTTAATAGGAATGGAATATTGAATTCTAGCGATAGCTGTTATTTGTATGTTGCACTAGAAAATAATAAGATGGCAAAGTAGGATCACAATTTCCTAATTGCATGTTGCACTGCCAGTGAACGGATCTAACAGTTTACATGTTGTCGGGGCAGCATCTCCGTTTGTCTGGTAATAAGGCGACCCTGAGTATACTCCGACAGAAACTCTAACCGACAAAACAACCAAGGCATTGAGGAAATACAACAAGGCTACAATGCATACGTACATATGAAACAGGACAAGCGATACTTCCTAGAGTTTAGGAAGTCGCATGAAATTCCCAATGTAACATATATTTGAATTTTGAACAATGACAGCCCTTGTTGCAAGTTGCAAGCTAGAAAAGAAAAGTTGAGGGGTAAAACGACGTTGTCGTTGCATACGAGAATTCGACGGATATATCCCTACTTGTGGTTTTCCGAACAAAATTGGGATTTGTCCTATATATAGGGGGCCTCCAATCCAATGAAGAGTAGAGCGGCATTCTAGAGGCAGGCAAGCCATCGATGGTATTGTGAACATGCCCAGTGACAGAAGAACATGCAGACAAGCTGCTAGAACTTTTAGGCCTCTTCGTGATCGTGAGCCTTTTGGACGCCTATCCATCTGGCATAGTCAATCCAGCTGTTCACAAAGTTCACCAGTAAGCAAATACAGCAACAGCAGGATGTAAGATTTCAATTTCCGGTGAGGTGAATGTTACTCACAGCAAAGAGCCAAGGAATGTGTTGCCCGTACGAACGATGAAGCTCATTGCACTCAGTAGTAGCTTCTGGTTATGCAGCAGCGGCTCCAGGATCCTCTGTTCGATCACACCAGCCAGAAGCTGATACCTGATGAAGTATATAAATTTTGTCATACGAATCAAACTGTGAATGGCAAACCAAATTGTTAACATCAACATCGTCTGTATCTATTTGCTACATGTTTCACAGCTGCGATCTGTTTCAAGGGGGGAAAAAAATCAAGTTTGCCAATTCAACTGACACGCTTACTCTCTCTGGCTATTCATAGCAAAACAAGATGATCAGTCATAAATTCAAAAGCTTAAGTATGTCTTGTATGCTAAAATATGTAGGAACTCTGTTTACCTGAGGTTACTAGAAATTGCCATGTATACACCATAGGCAACACTAGTTTGGACAACTGGAATTTCCACAACTTCATCCTCAAGGTCCTTATTAACAACCGCCTTTGCTTTGAGCACTGTATTGGTGACACTAGTGCCAATCTGGGAAGATGACAAATTCATAGGCATTGCAAGCTTAGAGAACTAATTCAGGGAGATGAAACTAACTAATACATAAATAAATTTTGCATGCATAACAATAACATATTGCTAGCGGATAATTCCCGTTTTGAAGAAGTGTTTCTAAGTAACAGGATCATGTTCAACTGTATATCGCTCAGAAAAGAGAATGGCAATTTTCTAGCAAAAGATCAAAAGAGACTGCTAATGAAGATCATCACAGAATAGCTATGAGATAAACAAACTTACAAAAGAAGCAGTAGTTCCCACTGCCAAAAGCTTTGCAGCATTCCTCTGGAAAGAAGCAGCCGCTGTTAGTTGATCAACATGGCTTGCAAATAAATCCAGATAACTATGATTATCATAAAATAGTTAACAATCGAATGCAATTAATCTACAGTACCACAAAAGCTCCAAGCCTCTGCACAAGTGTGAATGATCTTCCAGCCAGAGCAATCTGCAAAAAAGTCGCATAACATGTTTTCGAATACAAGGGAAAGAAATAGGAGGTCCATTCAACTCTAGGAAAAGGGAAACGGTTGCTTTACTTGGAAAGCATTATCAGGGCAGCTAGAGAAAAAATTGGCAATAGCTGAGGCATTTCTTGCAAGTGGAGGCTTTAAACCAATAGTTGGAGCAGGAAGATAGACAAGCATGACATCCGCAACAATCGCCATGACCTAGGTAGTATCAGAAGCAACAACTGAATTAGATTCCATATCAGAAGAGTTTAAATGTTCAGTGTAGAAAGGTACAATCATGTGATATCAGATAGTGAGGTATTTATAATTAGTGAAGTGAAACCACAGAAAATATGTTCTGTTTGATAGAGAGTAGATCTTAAGGTCTTCCGTTAGCCTGAGATTGCAAAGATTGGCATGTTTCATCAGTAACAATGAAAGAATGAGAAATGAACAGGATGGTTCCATGGAAAAGCCAGGGCTCTGACATATTTGGGATATTGTGATTGTTTTGTTTCCAGACTTGATTATTTAACAAAATAGTGAGTCTCATCCTCATTAGATGAAATTGACCCTATTTCCAAATTTTGCCACTACTGTTATAGTCCCCAGCGTGTGGGGGATATACCCCCGGGTACCACAAGATGGTACATGGGCCGCACCATCCGAGGTGGCCCGGCCCGTAAGATCAAGGCGTGCACATCAAGATTACAAGTTGTACTAGATATTGTAATAGTACCAAATTGGATACTTTACTTGTAACCTTGTCTCTTCGGAGTATATAAGGAGAGACAAGGGTCCCCTAGAGGACAGGTTAATCTGTATACATCTCAATACAATACACCAAAGACACAGGACGTAGGGTATTACGTCGATCAGACGGCCCGAACCTGTCTAAATCGTTGTCTCTGCGCCTTGTGTCACCATCTGGTTCCTGATTACACGCACCGTCTACCGATAATCTACCACCACGGGCACCCCCCTCGGTGGACTGCCGACCATATTTCGTCGACACAGCGATAGCCAACATCCTTTTGACAAAGAACACTACTGAAATGTAGATACTGATAAAGAGCCCACTGGTAAAGCTAGTTTAACCAACCACATAAACCAGCTACTATTCAGAATTTTTTTTGTATATAAAAAAAATGTACCTCCCTTGGTTAATTTTCTTTTACAGTACTTGTAATTTTGTGTTACTAGTATAGATATTTTTAAACATATTAATGGCCAAAGTTTAAAAAGATACAGGCAGGCAGGGATTCTAGGATGTAAAGTGAAAAATTGGACGAGTAGTATGTATCAACTTATAAAATTTTGCCAGTTTTCACATTTCAGTTCCAAACCTTATACAGTTGCTGCAAAGATGAAAGTGCAGATTTGTCCTGACTTAACAATCTAATGCGCTATTGATTGAGAACTAGTACCAAAACGAAGGCATACTGAAGCTTGAAGCAAGTTGGATGATATGAGATAAGCACAGTTAAGCGGGCGTACCACATCAGATATGACAACTTCAATCTCTTTGAAGAAATTGTCCCCCCTCTTCTGCAACTCAGCCGCAGTCTGAACAAAAGGAGTCAAATTAGCACTACACAGCTCGACGCAATTGATCACTACAGTATAATACAGAACTGTCAGGAGTAGTATTTGTTTTCATTTAAAAAAATAGAAACTACTTAATGAAACTAGTGCAGCGCACGTTCTCGAAAAAATATTAAAAATATATATAGAAAAAGGAGGGTGTGAGAGGTGACCGTGACCTTGGCGACGAGACCGATGACGCACTCTATGCCGAGCTTGGTGAGGAAGAGTTCGTCGGCGAGGAGTCTCTCCCTGAACCCCTCGAACTGGAGGAGCCATTTGATGAAACCGTTCGCCTCGAGTTCGCTGAAGCGGCTCACGATGTCGCCCCCGATCCGGCCGCTCTCGATGGCGGCGGCGAGATCAGACGGCAGGGTGTCGAGCTTCCGCCCCAGCTGCGCCAACACGAACAGCGCCTCCCCGCGAGCGTCGCCGGGCGATTCGTCGCCGCCACCCTCACCGCCGTGGTCGTTGTGGCCGCCGTCGTCGCCACCACCCTCGCCGCCGCCGCCGCCGTCTCCGCCGTGGTGGTTGTGGCCGTCGTCGGCTTCATCGCTGCCAAAGCCGCCGCCGGCGATGGAGGAGGAGGAGGAGGCGGAGGCGGAGGGTGGTGGTGGGAGCGCGCGGTGGAGGGGCGTGCCCGGGGCCGCCGGGAGGTTGGTGCGCGGAATGCGGGCGCGCAGCGGCGGCGGGAGCGCGGCGCGCGAGAAGTGGAGCAGCGGGAGGCGGCCAGGTGCCCGGCTTGTGAGGTGGAGGTGGAGCGGCGTCGGCTGTGCTGACGCGGCGGAGAGCGAAGACGCCGAAGAGGACGGCGGGAGGGCCATGGCGTGTCGACTAGGCTAGCGAGCAGGGTGGCTCGCCGCGGGGCGGGGCGCTGGGCGCGAGCGAGAGGGAGAGGGAGAGGGAGCGCCGTACGGTACCGTGGGGTTATGTACGAGGAGTGGGCGGGCCAACTTTGGGGCGGAGGCACCGAGGTGGTGAGGGAAACGTTGGTGCCGCCGTCAACCCAGCCAGCCAACGAGGTTTACGTTACGAAGGAGGCAGCGAAGGCTGGTGTGGCGGCTTCGGCTAGCCAGCCAACGGGACGACGATTCGTTCGACGCTGCAGCAGCCTCCAGGGTTGGAGAGGAAGAGACCCCGGGCGCGCCGGGCCGAATTTTTAAGATGCTGCGGGCGGGCGGGCGCGCGCGCGCGAGCGGGTGGCCCGTGCCCGCCGGCCCGCGGATTGGATTGGGCAGTATTGGCGCGGTTGTCGCCTGCTCCACAGTCCATAACTTTTTCTTTAGTGGAACGATCGACTTTACCGATGATTGGTGATAAAGGGCACAATAAAGCTTTCAACGGGCTCAAGGAGCCATACATGTCGTCCTACATCCAGAGATAAGGAACATCTATCTAGCTAAATTGTGAGCCTCTCATGCACAAAAAGTTTCTTCTGTTTGAGATTTCCTTCGGAACTGTGATGTTAATGGCACATAGCTACCCTTACATCGATCCCTTTCACCACGACCGACCAATCTAATGCAATGTAAATTCTCTAAGTTCAAATCTGCTGCCAGTGATAAAGCTTCGTCGCAGCACGCTATCGTAGCTTCTACCGTGGCTGGGTCTGAACTTCCGCACCTGGTGCCTACCTGACGGGCCGCGCTATTGTTTTTTTTTGCCTGCTGGGCCTTGCGTCTCCTGGAGGCTGGAGCGAGCCGTAGACCTCGTTCAGCTGGGCTTCTAGAGTAGACTCGCACACTGGACGGAAAAGCCCACGTATACCGTGCAAGGGGACCTGAGAGGTCCAAATGTCCAGTCGAGATGTCCACCATCTTCTTAACCAAGTTACAATCTTGCGAATTGATAGTTTGTAAAATTTCCTTTTATTATACGTCAATTTTATCCAACGACGTGGTGTCATGTCGTTCACAACGGGAACAAACCAAACTACGTCGATAGATTAAAGGGTAAACCAAGATGCAAATATATATTCTTCAAAAAAAAAATCCAAATATTTTTTCCCAAAAATGTGCAATTGAAAAATCCTAGAATTTGGTTTCATCTGAGAAGTTTTGTTTTACCTTCAAAAAAATGAGACCACTTCCAGATTGTCCTAGAACCATGTTTTTATCTTATGGTTCCTAGATTTTAAATATTTGAATCTTTTATGGTCCCCTTTAGCATTTATTTTGCTAGTAGATGCTCTTGTCATCTACTATATATAATTAGCCTACGTTTACAATCTAAACTCCTTACATTATTTGATACGTGTCTTGTCAATAATCATGTCATTGCTGCCGAGCCGCAGCGTCTAACATGGAGTAGAAGATCCAACTAAGTATATATAGATCTTTGTTCATCATTTAAACTTGCAACCCAAATTCCAAACATGTGCTTAGAGCGTGTGGGTGTACTACCCAATGTGATATTTGTAGCACCCTCCAAAAACAAACTTAGTGAGATGGCAATGAAACAAGAGATATTTGTCCCTTTTACTGGCATTGGTACTCCACAACCAATAATGCATGGCAGTACATGCGAAGAACACAAGTAGCAACGGCAGCACTGTCGACCATAGGTATTCTCAAGTTCAAAATTCAAATAAAATAGATATTCAAAACTGCTTATCGCACTACTAGGACGAGTACCACTTACAGTGGCGCGGAGCAAAGGGAAGGAGGGGTGAAAAAAAAACCTAGAGCGTCGGCACGGCAGCATATGGACGTGTGCAACAACAAGAAAACAGACAAAGCTTTCCCGTTCACCACAGCTAGCAGCACTCTGGTGTGGCGTTGCTCTGTTGTCTCAATCTCCTGTAGAAAATTCTGTCTGTGACCCCGTGTTCCGAGACGTATGCCTCATGGCACGGCACTGTGCGGTTATCAGTGACACCGTGACACTGCTGGTACCGAGAAGCGAGAAGACAAAAACTAATGCCGGCCTGATGAGTGCCTACCTGACCAGACCCTCTGCCGTTTTCTGATGTCGGTCTCTGCCTTGTTGCGTCGCGAACCAACATTCCAACATTTTTTTTTCTTGTAACTCAGGCACTCAGCTGTGTTTACCAGTTCACCGTCACCCCCAAGCTTCAGCATCTCGCTTCCAGTTTCAAACTCTGAAGGGAATGACATTTATGTGCTCCAGACTGCAGGGACAGATTTCAGCACTTGTTTCTCAAAATGAAAGCTCTAAATGGTTGGGTGATAAAGTACTGAAACGACATATTCCCGGATTTGTTTAACTTTCGGGCACAATAGCGACCATGCATGATATTAAAAGCCTGAAATCACCAGCATCTCCAGGATAGTCCCTTTGTTCGAAAGAATAAAAAAAAAACTAGTTGTTAGGACAAAATTTTATCAGAACTTAACTAATTAAATAAAAACCATAAACATCAATAACTATTACTCCCTATATTCCAAACTATAAGATATTTTGGCTTTTTTTTAGATATGTAGCTTTAATTATGTACTTAGATACTCATTATATCTAGACACATGGTACAAACAATATGTCTAGAAAAGCCAGAATATGTTATAATTTAGAAGGAAGGGACCATCTTTACCAAGAAAAAGTCAATAACTATTACATTATTTACTTTTTAAAACTTGAAAGTACTATGTGTACATCTGTAGAATACTTGCAAAATCTTTTAAAGTCGAAGGATTTTTAAAATCACATTCTTTTAAAAAAATATTACTTCCCCGTTTTAAATTAGAAGATATTTTTAGATACATTATTTTTCTTATACATCTAGATATAGTGTATATCTAAGTATATAATAAAAATTATATATTTAAAAAAATCAGAATATTTTATAAGTTAGAACCGAGGAAGTAGTAAAAAGTAGGCGCAGTGTAGGTGCAATCATGCAGATCAGGGTCTTTGGCCCTGTGGATAGCGTTGCACGCTGCTGCATACCTGGAACCTGGATACCAGTAGATCGCAATACAAGCGCGTTGCTGACTGCTGAGCATGGCGACTATTCTTCTCGCACGCACAGACGCACTACGTACGGGGTCAATCATATGATACCACAGGTCCACAGTGCAACGAAACAGTGGCATATCGAAAAAAGGGTTCTCCTTTCGTTCAGAAACGGAGTTAAGTAAATTAAAACTGACAGGTCAAAAAAAGGTGAAAGTGGGATCGAACCAAATAGTATACTAGACGACAGTGACCTGATATGCTAGACGAACCAAATATGCATGGCGCCCGCTAGGGAGCATGCAGCCCGAAGCGTCCACCGCTGCTGGATTGCCTGCCTTCAGGAGCTAGTTAACCTGCATGAGATGAGTGAAATCCGGACGTATTTGGCAGCGTTTCATGTTCTTATATAAACGTTTATGACTTAGATTCTCTTTAGAAATGCTTACTAGACAGCGTGTCCGTGCGTTGCTACGGGACAGTAAAATTTTTGTACTAAAAACACACGGATCGCACAATAAAAAAGCAATACTGTAAATTAAATACCAACGTTAAAGTGACATTTGTTTATTGTTTTCTCACTTCGGAATACAAAGATAACTATGTACTGTTAGCACCGTGCAACTTCACGATAGAACGTGCAAACTCAATCACTGTAATTTGCATGCCCAAGCAAATGGCAAGATACGGAATTCTCACACATATTTTACAGCAAGAATTTTCTCTTGGACTTCTCTGTCTCCAAAACCTCCTGGCACCAACACACCATATGCACCTTGAGGTGCAAATAAAAATTCGTTCAGATTTCTATATTGTGGGCTAGTGGCATGTCACAAGAGGGCATTCTATGCTTACCTTTAGCGACTCCCATGCTTTTTCATAGGCATCATGAATTTGCAAATACGACGGTATCCCAATTAGTCAGTTAATTCTCTAAGATATAGAAAAGAAGAATTGATAAGGCATAAATAAAACTAACCTCTTCTGCTATAGAATCTTCAAGATCACAGGAAGGAACCCGGTCCACCACAAGTTTTCTGTCCAAAGCAACCAACGCATGCAAAAGAGCTTGACAGAAGATGAAGAAACAGATAAGGCCCACCAGTTTAGTTCAAAATTGTATCTGTGTTATGAGACAAAATAGTAATGGCACCTTGATAACAAATAGGTAGGAATCTGACAGGCCAGTATACTTTCCAACCATAACAATCCCAACCTGAAAATGATTTTCATGCCATAATATCAAGCACTTGTTGTTATATATAAGCTAAGAAAGTCGATTCGGTATTGGAAACAGCCAGTATACTTTCCAACCATAGCAATTCTAACCTGAAAAGGATTTTCATGCCATAGTATCAAGCACTGGTTGTTATATATAAGCTAAGAGAGTCGATTCGGTATTGGGAACAGCAGTTAAAATGATCAACAAACCAACCAGAGATTTCAATCTATCACATCTGCTGGCTTTTTCAGTCCATTGAGACAATTGGGGTTTTTGAGAACTTTGACCACGCTGCACACATGAAGAAATAATACATGTATGTATTTCTAGAAATGAAGATAACTGGAAGAGCTTATAATTAATACTTTGGTCGGGTGGTATACCACCGAAGGTCTAGCACTTTCAAAATAGCTTCATGGGCTTCTGGTCCTATAAAGAGAAAAGGTTTTAGGTTAACCATGTCAAATGAGAATTTGATAATCATGCATACAAATAATTTCATATGACATACTCTGAGCAACAAAGGGATGTGCCAAATGTTCTGACATCATGGAGATTAATGATATTTGGTATCAGCCAAATAAAATCAAAGTCAGCATTGCCGTTGCATGATGCAGACTTGATTTATTTAAAAAACTCTTGAGCAGGCAACATTTTTACCGGAATATGACAAAATTGTGCGAGCTTCACTTTCACATGTTCTTCAAGTGTCTGCCAAAAAGCACAGAGCAAACCATTTATACAGACACCATCAGCATTGTAGACCTGTGTACTATGACACAAGCCAAAATATCAGGCATGAGTCAGAAGTGCCCAGCATAGGTGAGGAATACAAAAATTTGTGCCACAATAATGACATGTGTACATGATACTCCCAAGGGTGAAATAAGATAAGCGATACATTCACAAAACATTTGGATTACTGCAGGTGGAAAATGACACATTCACAGAACTAATAACTACCACGCGGTATTTACCTTTGTCAAATGAGCAAATCATCAACAAAAATACAGTGAAGCCTATCTCCTATTGCCTTGTGAATGAGTGGCAGCGATCGTTGAATCATCTGAATAGACAAAACAATGTCAAACTTCAACTAACTGATCACTCAAGGAAGGACCTTACCATCAACCAGCGAGCAACAGGTGTCCACGCCAAACTCGCCTTCTTCTCGACCACAGCCGGAATCATCCAATATCTCGCCTAAGCTCTACCCACTGCTCCTCCTTTACATGGTTGAGTAATCATTAAAAATAGCATAGATAATGTATTCATATTTTCTCAAATATTTGAAGTCTGTTTATTCGTTCTTATATTCTTGGTCGACTGCAAGTTCCATAACTTCTGAAGCCATTCATTTTCTTAATAAAAATCAAACAAAGATAAAAAATTGTCATAGGCTCATAGCCTTCACAAGTGTCCGCATGTGTGAGGCCTTGTATGAATGCAGCAACAATCCATAGCAAAATACACGCATAAGGCATGGACGTATCTTAGTGGCAGCGCAACCATGACGAGAAGGGAGGAAGCACGCAATGACATGTGCCTAAAGAATAGAGAACATGACAGGAGATTAGGAATAAGTGTTGCAACTAAAACATAATCATACTAAGGTATATGCCTAAAGAGTCCAATTGCAAGGTTTATGCTGAAGCATTTTTTTTACACTTGTTTAGCGTTCTCTTTTTCTTAAGCAAGCAATTTTCATAGGGTGAGCCTGAACAGAAACTTCCTGCAGGAACAAAAACAACCCCTTTTCCTCTCGAACATGTTCCAAGCCTGAACAAACCTATTCCACACAGCGTTCTCCCCTTTTCTTTCACAGATAGGAAGCATCACAAAATTATTGCACAACTTTGTGACAAGAACAAAATAGACAATACGTACGAATTTGAGTAGCTTGCCACAAACTGGCGCCCAATCAGATTGAGACAGGAATAATCGAGGAGATTAGAAGAATTTGAGGGAAGAGGAATCGAGGCGGGTGAAGGCAGAACTCACCTTGGCTGGCGCCTTCGCCGGTGCCACGGCCTTGTTCTCTGCTACCACTGTCACCGCTGCAGCGGCGGCGTCCTTAAATCCGGCCAGCGATGTGTCCTCGGCGGGGGCAGCGAGATCCCCGTGATGACTGGCGGCGGCAGGTACCCTTCCACGACTACCTTGGTGACCACATACTCCCTTTTGACCCCATTCTCCGTGCAACCGCTGTCGGCAGGTCCCGGCCATCCAACCTCCAGCGGCGCCGACGCGCGTGAAGGGACAGGGATGGGGCGGCGACGCCGGCGTGACAGGGCAGGTGTAGGGCCGTTACCTCGGCCAGGTCCCATCTGCGGCGGCTGCGTAGAGCCGGCTAGGGGCGGGGCGGGGCGGGACGTCGGCTTGGCGGGGGAGAGGCAGTGGAGGGCGCTAGGTCTGCATTGGTGACATTGAGACGGGTAAGACGGGATGGCGTCGCGCGTCACGGAGCAGGGGGGCAGGTCTCATCGCGCGTCACGGAGCTGGGATGTAGGTCCCATCGATTGTGATGGTGCTTGATTGCCTCGTCGGTGATTGCGATCCCGCCTTCCTTATCTTCGCACGGAACCGCGGAGGCGCAAGGAAGGGAACGACGACCCACGATCCCACCTTCCTTCTCGGCGTACGACGCCTTCCTATCGGAGCCGCGGTATCGCAAGGGAGGGAAGGGCAACCCAAAAAATGTTGCACCAAAAAATTGTCCTACTTTTATTCTTTTTAGTTGTAGAAGATACGATGGATTGAAATCATTTCGTGAAATCGTTTGGCAAGTTTGTTGGATTCTTAAAACTAGAACTAGAATTAGGACAAGTCACATTTCAATTGTGCTGGGGATCTAAAATTTGTCTCGCACACCAAAACTCGGTAAAAATACGAGGATCAGGCAAGGTAAGTATGTAGGTAACTATCTGGATACAATACAAACCGAAGATGGGAACAGCGAAGACCAAGACAAGGGAGATGCAATCCGCAAGCTGTGGCAAAACATGCCCCTCCAGTTTGGAAGTTGTGATAACTGTCTTGCTCGCAGAACGCATCTAGTAGTATAGAAGCTGTAACTGTAGATTCAGTTAGGTGACGAAAGATAAAAGAGCTGCCGTATGTTATGTATCCAGCAGCATCTATTCCGTATCAGACGAGCCTGGTGTTGCACTGTCCACATCTATCTTCCTCCACTGCACTACTGCAGCATTGATACCCTGATGCTTTGCCATGGGGTGGGCTGGTGGGCCCCAGGCCCGGACTCACGTAACGCACACTTTCGCTGTGCGCTCACATGCCTCGATGGAGCTCAACTGAATTACTGTTACTCCATGCGTATCATGGCAACAAGACGGCGACTGAGCAAGACAACAAGGAAGAACTACAGTAGCAACGCTGGCTGCCACTGCTTGCCTGCAACTGCAACTCACCCACCGCCACCGGCCGGCGAGACGGAGGCGCATTCGCTTCGCTGAAAAAATAAGCCACACACTGTTCCGGCTGATTTGTTGTGAAAGAAAAATACTGTTTCGGTTGGAAAAAAACGAGCTGAAAAGTAACAAGCGAACAGGGCCGTACGTGTGAACCTGTAAGAACGGTCATGACATGAGTGAGTGGAAGAAGGCCGGCGTTCTGAGATGAGTTGACATCCATCCATCCAAAAGCGAGGTGAGGAGAAAATTGCCAAATTGGCACGTACACGGTGCAGCAGTGACAGAGCCGAATGAATGAGCATGCATGGAAAAGGAGATGGAGCATCCACCTGCCCACCTGTGGTTGCTATGCTACACTAGCATGAATGCACACAGTACTCGCAGGCTGCCGCCGACCGAACCAGCCTAGCAGCAGCAGGCCAGGCCAGGGATGAGAGATGCCGTTGCTTGCATGCCATGCCAAACGCCCAACGGACGGCCCGACGTTGTTGGTTGGTCGTGACTCGTGACTCGTGACTCGTGACTGACAGTCAGGATGGATCAGAAGGAGGAGGCTTCCATTCTGCCGCCGCCGCCCACGGGCGCCTTGATGACCTGCAGGATCTGGACCACCTCCGCCATGGAGGGCCGGTTGGACGGGATCTGCGACGTGCACACCATGCCCAGCTTCAGCACCGGCAGCACCTCCTCCTCGGGGACGTGCCCGCCCATGCCCGGGTCCACGCACTCCAGCGCGTTGCCGTGCTCCAGCAGGACGCGCACTTGGTCCATGAGCACCACCACGTCGTCGTCCCCGTACTCCACGGCGCGCCGCCCCGTCACCAGCTCCAGGATCAGCACGCCCAGCCCGTAGATGTCGCACTTCTCGTTCACACGCAGGCTCTGGCACGCCAGCTCCGGCGCAACGTACCCCATCCCGCCGCCCGCCTGGAACCGGCTGCCGCCGCCGTCCGCCAGCTTCCCCGGCAGCAGCCGCGCCAGCCCGAAGTCGCCCACCGCCGGGTTGCACTCCGCGTCCAGCAGGAAGATGTTGCTCGGCTTCACGTTGTAGTGGACCAGCGGCGGCCGGAACGCCTGGTGCAGGTGCGCCAGCGCCCGGGACGTCCCGGACACCACGCGGAACCGCTCCTCCCACGTCATCGGCGGCAACTCCGCCCCGCCGCCGACGCCGTGGAGCCGCGCCTCCAGGCTGCCGTGCGCCGCGTAGTCCGTGATCAGCAGCTGCAGCTGCGGCGTCCAGTAGTAGCCCTTGAGCGGCAGCAGGTTCGGGTGCCGCGCCTTCCCCAGCACGCGCACCTCCCGCTCGAACTCCTCGCGCGACCGCACCGTGTTCGCCGCCACCAGCCTCTTCACCGCCACCACGCGGCCGTCGCCCACGGGCGCGCGGTACACCGTGCCGAACGCGCCGCGCCCGATCTCCGTCGCCTTGCTCAGCAGCGCGTCGGCGCCGGCCACCAGGTCCTCCGACCGGAGGCTGCTCCCGGGACCGAACGTCACCATCTTGCCGGCGCCGAGCTTGCCCCTGCCCTTTCCGCCGGGCGGCGACGATGACTTGGCCGTCGAGCTGCTGGTGACGATGCTCTCGTCCACCTCCTTCTTCTGGTCGTAGCCAGGGCCACCACCACCCGCCGCCTCGGCTCTCCGCCGGGCCGACACGTTGAGCAGCGTGACCACGATGACCCCCAGGACGATCGCGACCGCCGCGCAGATGGCCACCATGGCGGACACGCTCAGGAACCGCCGCTTCCTCGGCGCCCCCACGCCGCCGCCGTTCGTCTCCAGGTTGTTGTAGCCGCCGCCGGCCCCGCCGGGCGGGCACTCGTTGGGGTCCAGCACCAGCGGCTTGGGCACGTTCATCATGCACGGCCCCGCCACCAGCGGGCTGCAGATGCCCAGGTTGCCCTCCAGCGCGCTCGCGTCCAGGCTCTGGAACACGCCCGACGCCGGCAGCCGCCCGACGAGGCGGTTGTGCGAGATGTTCACGGCCAGCAGGTTCTCCAGCCCGCCCAGCTGCGCCGGGATCTCGCCGCTCAGGTTGTTGTACTCCAGCCGCAGGATCTCCAGCTTCTTCAGCTTCGAGATGCCCGCCGGGATCGGCCCCGTCAAGCCGTTGTGCCCCAAGCTCCTGCGTGCATGCATAAACCAAACCGTCGTCAGAACTCAGATGGTCGTGATCGTGACACATTCACACATGCAAATTGCAACGCAACACAAGTACAGTAGTAAACACTTACAGGAGGTACAGGGAAGAACAGTTCCCGATGCTGTCGGGGATGGGGCTGGAGAGGGAGTTGCCGTCGAGCTGGAGCACGGCGAGGCTACCGGACTCGCAGAGGTCGGCAGGCATGGCGCCGTACAGACCCGTGCTACGCAGGTCGAGCACCGTCAGGTTGCGGAGCAGGCCGAGCTCCGGCGGCAGCGGCGTGCGGAGGTCGTTACGGGACAGGTTGAGGTACCGGAGCTTGAAGAATAGCGACATCTCCGTGGGGATGCCGCCGGTGAGCTTGTTGCCGGAGAGGTCGAGCCACTGCAGCGTCTCCGCCAGCCTTGTCGAGCCGGACGGCAGGACGCCCGAGAGCGCGTTGGACGACACGTCGAGCGTCTCGAGCCCGACGTCGAACAGAGCGTCCGGGATGCTGCTGCTGAGGCTATTGCCCCTCAGGTGCAGCTCGGCTAGCTTGGTGCACCCGGACATGGAGGCCGGGACGGTCCCGGAGAGCTGGTTCCTGGACAGGCTCAGGTACTTGAGCGCCTTGAGGTCGCCAAGCGAGTCCGGCAGGCTTCCGGTGAGCGCGTTGTCGGATAAGTCCAGGTGCTGCACCGCGGCCAGCTTGCCGAGCCAAGCGGGGACGTCGCCGGAGAGCCGGTTGCCGGACGCGGAGAAGTAGACGAGCGAGCCGAGCTGGCCGATGGAGTCAGGGAGGTGGCCGTCGAACGCGTTAGCGCTGAGGTCAATGGTGCTGAGGTGCTGGCACAGGCCGATGTCCGCCGGGACGGCGCCGACGAACCGGTTGCCGCTGAGGCTGAGGGTCTTGAGGTTGTGAAGCCTAGCAATGCCGTCGGTGACGGGGCCGGAGAACTGGTTGCGTGACAGGTCGAGCGTGCGCAGGCGCTCGAGCGGCCAGAGCGCGCCGGCGAAGTCGGGCGAGCCGGAGAGCTGGTTGCCGGACACGTTGAGGTGGAGCAGGAGCGGGCTCCCGGACGCCAGCCCCTCCGGCACGGGGCCGGAGAACTGGTTGCCAGACAGCACGAGGAACCGGAGCGTGCGCGGGAAGGCGGGCGGGAGCGGGCCGGAGAAGGCGTTGCCGGTGAGGTCGAGGTAGCGGAGGGAGGCGAGGCGCGCGACGTCGTCGGGGAGCGGGCCGGAGAAGGCGTTGTAGGAGAGGTCGAGCGAGCGGAGGGAGCCGAGGAGGGAGAGGCCCTGCGGGAGCGGGCCGGAGAGGTTGTTGCGGGCGAGGGAGAGGTCCTGGAGCGCCGGCAGGCGGTCGAGGCCCCGCGGCATGCTGCCGGACAGCGCGAGCCCGTCGAGCGCCAGGCGGAGCACGCGGGAGGTGGCCGGGTCGCACTCCACGCGCGCCCAGCCGCAGGGGGTGGCGTCCGACTCCGTCCACGTGGCCAGCGCGCCGGTCGGGTCGGACAGCGCCGACTTGAACACCACTAGCCCCAGCACCTCCTCGTTCACCGTCATCGGCATGTCGGCCTTCGTCGCTGGCAGCGCGCCGCCAATGAGGAGCAGTAGGAGGAGGTGGAGGAGGAGGAGAGCAGGGGAGGTGGCAGTAACAGTGGCCATTTCTGCTGCTGCAGGTGCGGGTGCGGGGCTGCCGCGTGCAGAATGTTTCCGGGACGGGATAGATATGGTGGCGGTGGCGATGACGGTGGCTGGCAGTAGATGAGGAGGAGGGGGGGTAGTGTAGTGGTACCGGCGCCGAGCTGTGTTTTGGGAGTGTGCATGGTGGAGGCATCCATCGGAGCCGCGGGGAGGGGAGGAACAGAAAATGCAGGCCGCGCGCGTCGCTGGATTGGATTGCCCGTGACTCGCGAGCGGGGGGTAGGTTTGGACAGATGGAAAGCAACAAACGACTTCACGTTCTCCGGTCCTCGGGTTGGCCATGGCCATGCCACTGTGATGCTGGACGGTGGGGTCGCCGGAGGAATCCAGCTCGCCGGAACCCGACACCGCACGGCGATTGAGGCGACGACGCAAAAGCAGCCGCAGAATCACGTCGAAAGCTACTCGACTTTTGTTAATCCTGGTCACGGATTCAAAACGCGTGACCGATCGCCCTCGCCCCTCAACTCCAAGTGGGCAGCAGGCACCCATCCGGCCGTCACAGGAGCAGCAGCAGCAGCAGAGCATGCCCACTCCATGACTCCATTCATCAGTTCAGTTATCAGCATGGAAGCTGAAAAAGGGACGGAGCCTTCCCCATCAGTCGTCACAAAGTGCCCAGATCGCAAGACTGCAAGCTGTAACAGAAACAACTCATCTTGTATGGCTAGCGGATTATTTCATTCAGATCTGGGGAGCAGATCACATGTATACATGCATACGTTGGTGGTGTATTATTCAACATATTCAGTCGTTGCCATCCATACCTATCTATCTCACCCCATACTTTATCCGGAATCAGTGTACATATCTTCTGCCACGTGTGCTATAATCGAGCACTGAAGCACAGAAACCTGTACACACGCATGCATGGCCATGGCTATATACTTGGACTCTGCACTATACCTCATATCTAAACGCACGCAACTTTGTATATATATATATATAAGTAATGGAACGGTAAAGGTGAGCACCCTCGAGTAGGTACAGTTATTCCTCTTGATGTTAGCTGCACTTTGAGGATTCCCAGCTTGAATTCTGGCACTGGACTGATATATAACTGAAAAAACTGTTGAATCAATCACGCGGGCCGTCAAACGACTGGGATTTCCTCAAGTTCCAATGGAGGCCCTCATGGATGCTGCGGAGGAAATCGGTGGTCGAGTCCACCAGGCAGGCTGTGGGCACGGGCCAAGGAGAAATGCTGCAGATCAGGGCGTCACCGGGCGATAGCTGCTGACGATCTTTGCCATCGAAGGATGCCCAGACATTCCCCCTGCTGTTGCACGGCACTTGAACGCGCAGAGTCACGTATTCAGGCAGAATCAAAGGTCTGAATGACAAGGAATGCGGACAGATTGGGGTGAAAAGGATCCCTGGGACCTGCAAACGCCGGCTACACATTAGAAACCACAATGAAATGGCAGCATGGACAAGTAATGCTGATTGCTGAGCCGCTGGAAGAAGATTTGTGTAACAATCCAAGCGTTACTGACTGAAATTGGTCAAATAAACGCCATATAAATCAATTGGGGCATACCTGAGGATGAACCATGGACCCTCCAGCTGCTAATGAATATGCTGTACTTCCAGATGTAGTCGATATGATGAGTCCATCCCCTTGTACACAAGTAACAAAAGAACTGTCACAGTAGACTTCCAGGTTGGTAAGGTAAGATGATATTCCTCGGTCAATTGTAACTTCGTTTAACACTAAGAATGGTTCCTCAGTCACAATTTCATCCTTTGCCGTGTCACGTATTACATGACACTGTATTCGGTTTCTCAGCGTGATGCTAAATGGCCCGTTCAACACATTGTCCAACAACTCACGGTATTGCTCACTTGCTGAAAAAAAAGGATAAGGACAACACAATAGATAAAAACAGGACTGTCAATTGGATAGAAGAAAGCTTCACATGCAATTTATTGTCCAACAGAAATAGGTTTTCCGAGATCCAGTAAAATCCAGCTGTTCTAGGTTATTATTGCATAGAGCGCCAAAGGGCGCCTAGCTCAAACGGTTAGGTGACCCAGCGGCACTTCTCAGGTCTTAGGTTCGACTCCCCGTGGGAGCGAATTTCAGGCTGAGGTTAAAAAAAATCCCCTCGTCCGTCCCCATAACCAAAGCACTGGGGGGGCACCGGCCCAATTCTCACTTGGGCGACGGAAAGCCACCGTGTAAGGGTGGGGGCGGGGGTTCGGGGGTTTTCTCGGCCGGGTGAAAAGGTCCTTCTTCTTATTTGTAATGCTGCGGGGGCAGTCTTAACCCCCCCGGTCGAGTTTTTTTTATTATTGCATAGAGCGTGTTAGCACTGGTGGTAAAGGATACGGAAAGGTGTCATGAAGCCCAGTGATCCCAGGGCAAATGCAACAACTGGAGGAACTGGTCCTTTGAACAATGATGCAGCCTGTTAAGAGGAATCCAGAAAATTTCTAGTTTCAGTTGGAGAGCAGTTGAGTAAAATAAAACTAAGTGAAAGTACAAGTCCAAATAAACATACGAGAATATTATCAGAATAAGCATAGACACTCAAGCTGTCCAGCAGTTGGCAGGCAGGCAACATGCAAAATACTAACATTAAATAAAACATCTAAAATATGGAACAGGTAAGCTACTAAGGTGGTTCCCACAGTGAATTGTATTAGTACTCTTCACTTTATCATTGAAAATTCACCTGAATAAGAACTGCCATCTTCCATAGAAAAGCAAGACTACCATAAATTTGGCTTGGACAGCACATTGTCATGACCATTCCTGGAGGGATCTCTACAGACCTTCGATTTCGGATGTTATGTTACCACGTAAACTATATGCATTGTCCAAAAATGGGAGTTTCTGTGAAATAGTTTATCGTCCAAATGTTCGGATCAGATCAAAGTTTAGCTGGTTGAGGCAAAGCCAGTCAACTGACATGACAAGGTCCATGTGATCCTCCTAAGGCTCCGCATATTCAAAAAAATCATCACAGGAGTAATAATTTGTTTTTGAATCTTAAAAAGTATGTAGGATGAAGCTCCACACTGACATGACAAGGGAACAAATAGGAACCTCAGAAACTGAAGGTACTATATCAAAATGGATTAAAAAAAGAAGCTTCAAAGTCCAGATAACATTTTGCAAGGGTGCATCACAACTGAAATATAAAACAAAATGGATGCGTACCCACAGAACAGTTCCATCACCTCCAAGAGTTACAATTAGATCAACCTTCGTATGCAGCATCTTTATCTCCTCATCTATAAGAGTTGGCCAGAACACGGGAAGTGATATCTCAATAGAATGATTGCAGGAACAATCTAGATAGATCTAAAACACGACAATACAAAAGTAGAAGATGAAGAATGTTGATGAATAAAAAACTACAGAGGAAAAGTATGTTTTTATGCTAAATGTATTAAGTTTTTTTTAAAACATTAAATGTAGGAGTACTACTAAGGTTTACAAGTGTAAGACAGCTGCTGCTGCTGCACATGCAACATGCACGACTCAAACAAGTTCTGCATCATTCATAGTGATACAAACACAGCTTAATACTGTGCTCAGTAGCCAACCCAGGTTCATTTCCTCCATATTTCATAAATATGTTGGAGGGGGCAATCTCTCCCTTCCAATCTGCCTTTTTTTTTACTGTGCACAGTTTAGGCCAAAGAATGTGTTACTAAAAAGATAGCATTGTGGTCTGACCAGTAAGGTTGGATTTGAGAACATCAGCATCCATAAACTCTCTCCACCATAGTAATATGCATTGCAAATTACATGGGTAAATTGGACAACAGAACATCAACATACAAATAGCAAGATGAGGCAGAAACTTCATATAACCTAAGCACCACTAGTGTCTTGCAAAAGCATGTATAAGCTATCCATAGACACTCTCCAAATTACTATACCTTATTAATTAATTTATTCAATTCCCATCACAAAAAGGAAAAATATCTTCTTGAGTAATCTATGTCCTGAACTGCTAATCTGGAGCACATGGAAGAAGCGCATCACATAAGTTAAACCTCTTACCATCATCCCATGTTTGGACGAAGTTGTAGTAGGAATCCTCCATTAGAGGTTCCTTTTTAACACGTGGTTCAACAAAGATGTTTATATTTTTATGGTCCCTAAGCCATCTGCGGAAAAATAATTCAAAACCTTTCAATGGCGTGAGCACAATATACAGGCTACCTGTGCAGTAGCATACTAGCATATAACCCATGTAAGTTGTGATTCATCAGGCACAAAAACATATCAAGGGTGCTGATTTCTAAAAATATTGAATTATGTCATTTAAAACAATTTAGTTTTCATATGGTACAGTGTGACAGCATTTGTAATTCAGAATTATGGAAAAATTACTAAGTATATTAATGGATAAGTAGTGGTGGTGCAAAGTAGGGAAGAGAACACACCTGACCATTTCAGCACAAAGAACACGCACAGAGTTGGAATTCGGTTTGGTTATGAAAAGCACTGTTTGTGGTGGTGATTCCCATTTCAGTAAGATCTGAAAGCGAAGTATTTGTCATCATTGGAAGAGAGAGGAGCAAAAGTGTGATAGTTGTTTGGTAAAAATTTCTAGAACTATCTGCCATTCCAAAATGAATTGAACATGACAAATGGACCAACCTGCTTATTGCTCCTTTCTGCGGTTGTTATATCACCTTTTTCAAAGGACACAAAATCATGCTTATGCTGACCATTTTTATCCCCATTACATCCCCATGAAAGTTTAAATGATGCCTTTCTCCCCACCACCTTGTGATTAGATCTTGGGATAGCTCCAGGAACTTCGTCCTGCAGAACCTCATGTGCACATATTCCATGCTTACCGCAACATCCTAATTGATCAGGTGCAGGTGTCTCCAGAGTCAGTTGGCTGGCCAGTTTGTCCAAGTCATTACTGATACAACTGTTGTAGCCTGCACAAGATAGAACTCCAGTTGCTCAAGAGAAACAAATAGTATAT